CAAAGTTCAATTATTTTCGAAACAATTAACCTTAACAAATTAGAGAGATGCCAACCTCTCTGTTGACATAAATTTTCAATTTTGCACTTTTCTCCAATATGCTAAACATATCATTTCATATTCTTAATTGAAGCCCTATTTGATTTAGATAAAAACTAAATTTTTAGAAAATATTTGATAAAAAAAAAAAAATGAAACATATAGTTGAAATTTAATAAACGTAGTTGAAAATAGATTCAAAGAAAAATGAGTTCTAAAAAATGGAAAACATTATTTTACTTTTAAAAAATCCCTTTTTGTAGATAGTGATTTCATTTTAAAAGGTTTTTGTGAGTAATAATTTCACACTTAAAACTAAAAAAATATGTCTAAAATATTTACTAGAAAAAAGAATTCTAAAGTAACCTTTGATGCCAATCTTATTACATTTTAAGTGTGATGATAATATTACTTTAATTTTCTAACTTTAATATAGTAGTGTAAATAAATAAAAATGAGAGAAATTGCTAATAAATCAAGTGATATAAAGTATTTAGTGAATTTTTAAATAGCTTTATTAGATTATTCGAAAACATATATTTATGTTGACAAGTTACCAGTATTTAAAAAAAAAAAAATCATATTTATATAATTTTTAAAAAGAAATGGAGTCATTCTGNNTTTAAAAAGAAATGGAGTCATTCTGTAATGGTAATTAATCTTAGGGGTGTGATTGTAATTTGATCTTGCTTAATTTTAAATCAAGAATAATTAATATTCACACCAGATTTTTTTTTTTTAACTTCATCACATTTTAATTTCAAAGAAAGTCCTTAAACTTTACTTATTATTGTACTTATGTCTCCAACATTTTTACATTATTTTTATTCCCAATTTTCTATAATTTAGTATATCTTATCTTTAATGACGGTCACATTAATTGTTTGGAGGGTGTAGAAAGACTTATTTCCTCTCATATTTTTAAATAAGTAAAACAAATAAAAGTTTGACGAAAAAATTCTCCAGCTACGGAGCTACCCAAAGATTTGGACAACAATCATTAGAGACAAGATATATTAATTAGTTAAATATTAAAGATTAGAGTATGATGAAAAAGTTGAGAATTTGAAGGTGAAAATGAACAAAAATTGGTGACATTGCAATTAAATCAACCCACTAAACCAAAGTGACAAAATGATTTTGAAATCGTTCGTTTGAATTTACATGGTTTATTTTTCGATCGTATTAAAAAGCGAACCAAATCGCTTGGAAATTGGTTCAGTTTAGATTTCGATACTTAAAAATCGCTAAAAATCAAATCAAACCATTCACTCAATGTTTTAAAAGAAAGAACTTGTTTTACTAGGATATATTATTTTTAAGACCATTTATACTTAAAAAAAAATTTACTTGCAAGTCAGTTTCTAATGGCTCTTTAGGAATACACAGATTTATTATAATAATACTTTTCTCAAAAGAAATCTCAAACTTAAATTTATGGTTGAACTTGTATTAATTTATTGGTTAAAGCTTGTATTGGGATAAATATATTAGTATTGTATCGTGAAAATTCGTGATTTTAAACCAAATCAAAGTGAAAAAAATATTCGAGCTAAAAAACACAGTTGCAATATTGAGTGACAGAGTGGATGATGGTAAAAGATTTGGTCAAAGCAAAAATCTACCCAAAAGAAGTATTACAAACCGATGTTTACCCATTTATCGTTACCAGTCAACATTGAACGTGCATTGTACGTTATTATCAAATACTTTATAAGTATTGTAAAAGTAATATTTGAATATATGTGAATGTTAATTAATTTAGAATTAAAATCAGAGAACATATACGTGACAATGAATGTTAAATTATTTATTTAATTTTCAATTAAATAAAATTGAATGTTAATTAGCATACATAAACTTGAATAATGAATGTGAAATTATAATTAACTTATAATTAGAATTAATAACACTGAAATACATAAATTAAATAAAGATGAATATTAATTAAATGAATGTGAATTAATTGAGAATTAATAATAGAACATTCATATATTAATGAAAGCACACATGTGAATGAATCTATCAAATGTACATGTACATTGATAGTAACTAAATTGTTGAATAAATAGTGAACAACGAAAAAAATAATGTATTATTGAAATAATTAAATTATAGTAGATTTATAATTGTCTAAAAAATGATTCTCACTTGATGCGATATTTAATATATTATAGATTAGTCGATATGTCAAAAGTATTTTGATCAAAGAGAAAATTACCTAAAACCCTGCAATTAAAAATCAGTTTTCATAAACAAGGAGATTAAGTTTAAAATTCAGATTTCAGGTGGTAAATAAAATTATTAATTATAATTATTAAAATTTTAAATCTACATATTCATCAACCC